TCAACGAATGGCATGGGTTAAAATTTTGTGTTCCCTCCTGTTAATTTTTGTGTTCCCAGAACGGTCCCACCTGTTGAGTAAGATTAATCAAGAACACAATACCCATTTTAGTGGATACCAATGTAAAGAAAAATTTGTGAGTCTTGTCCGGGATTACAATGTAAGTATTGCATTATTTCTATTGATGATGAATTTTTTCTGACCATTCCCTGGTTTCTGTAAAACTTACCTTTCGAATTATATGATTAGTTAATGTGTGATTTTTTGGATGGTAATAGTATAGGACGAAGAACCCGAACGGGTGCACAATATTACAATGAATTCCTAACACATTTTTGGGAGAGACCTGAGGATGAGTTTGATAGAATCCGTAATAGAAATATATCAAATCAAACTTCACCTAATAATCAAAGTCGAAGAATATCCGTTACCAGTAGAAGTCGAAGACGATCCGCATCACCCTCCCAAAGAGCGACTAGTGAAAGGAGTGAGAATATCAGCGAAACAGCCACCACCAATAATAATAATAATAATAATAATAATAATAATAATAATAATAATAATAATAATAATAATAATAATCAAGATAATAGAAGGAATGAGAATACCAGTGAAACAGTCGTCACCAGTAATAATCAAGATAATGGAAACAATGTAAATAATGTAAATGATGTAAATGATGTTAATGATGTGAGTGGGAATTCAGCTCGTAACGCGAATGATGTAGATGAAAATTTAGATAGTGGTACATACTTATCTTCATCTGAGCTGGCAAATATTCCCACATCCCTTAATATGTCTGCATCACAAAATGACAGTGATGTTAGTATGTTCGATGTTGAAGGTAGTCAACCACCTTCTTATACGGAAGCTATAAATGAAGAGGAGAATCAGTGAAGCAGGATGTTAATTCATCTGAAAAAGTAATAAAAAATATGTGTCTTTGACACTAGCTCTGCTATTATATTCCTTCTTGATTAAACGTAATTGCTAGTATATATCCACCCTTTTAATTGTATTCGCATCACCATAAAAGAAGAATCACTATTATTTATGTCGTATATATATTTCAGCGTGAATTGATTTAAAGAAGGAATTAAATTTATTGCAAAGCAATGACACTTATGTGCCTTGATAATCCCTCTGCATAATCAATCAGATAATCACTATGTCTGCGAGATTTAAATAATTTAATGCGTACGACAACCTAACCATAACATACGTGTAACCAAATTTATAAGGGTTGTTTTACTGAAAATAGTTTTTTTTGTCTGATTTCCTAGTCCAAATCCCATATTCGTTTTTGTCACATTTTACAACCAATAAAACCAAATCCCCTTGAATTTTACATCACTTTTTTCTAATATTATTAATCATAAAACCCTCCAATTATGTCCGAGGTATTAGAAGAAAAATTAAAAAAACTTATTGAGGAGTCGAGAGCTTCTATTAATTGGACTGAAGTAAATAAGTGGATTGCGGAGGGAGAACCATACGAAGAACACGAAGAAATTTTAATGTTTATGAATCAAAATGGAGTTGCTGACTCAAGATCAGATGGTAAGTCTACTTGATTCATGTT